CTTGACCTTACGATAATAAATCCACGGCAGACGCGGGTTAATTGGCATACAAATAGATTTTCCAACATAGCGTATCAGTGCGCACGAGTGCATAGTCGCTGTTACTACGACTGCTACTGTTACTGCTTGCGTTTGCGATCGGCAAGCACGTGCTTGGCATAATGCGAATTAGTGCACGATTCCGCGCGCGGCTATTCCGGCTATTTCCGCCCGCGAGCTCCTTCCGTCCCGAGCAGCCTCGAATTGTTTTTCGCCGGCTGAGCGTCAGTCGATAGGAAAACAACAGTAATTGCACGACGATGAATCGAGCATTTCAGTTCCGCTAGCGCGTAACGCTCTCTCGAAACTAATTGCAAAATAATTATAATTCCAAACTCACATTGTATCGCTTTGCATGTTCACATCGCTCCGCAAATTCCCTCCTACTTTTTTCCCTCTGCTCTGTTTCTTTCTATCCAACAACAAATGGCGACATTGAATATTCTACAAGCAAAACCGCATTCGATTTATTCGCAAATAAACATGGTGGTTATGAAAATACGATAATATCGCGGATGAATTATCCTTGATCTCTAATGAAAATATTATTTTGGTTTAAAATAATCGTCATTTTTATAAGAAATTTATTGATAAAATAAATAAATAAAAATAAGATGGATAATAACAACGGATAATAATAAATTTGATAATGATAGAAATGCTTAAAAGGTTGCCCAGAATTGTTATATTGTCTCTCTTTTAATGATTCTGAAATAAATTTAAAGAGTCTTCTCTATAATGAAAATTCAATAGAAAGTTATTTGTAACAACTTTCTAACTTTCAGCATAAATATTCTGATAATTAAGTCCCAAATTAAATTTTCTCCTAAGCAGTAAGGTAACAAATAAATTCTATTAAAGCCCGTTTAAAATTAAATAAAAAATAAGATTTTATTAAAAATTTCATAATGTTTATTTCTCGTAGTTCAATTTATCACAGGAATTTATTTATTAATTTTTGACATCAAATAATTTTCTCGCTCAAATATTAAAAGGAACGAAAATGTAATGCAAATTTATAATATTCTTAATATTCTTAACAGCTTTAATATTCTCATCAATATTGGACTAAACTATCCATTTCTTTTTTTTTTTTCACATTAATATAACCGTGAAGCTGCGTGCTGATTTGAATATGCGAAGCACATATCGATGTATTTTGTCGACAGCGAGGTCTCACCGTAAATTTCGGATTAGCGATCGGCTCCTTTACGATGCCAATAATCTTCCTGAGGTCGACCTACACAATTCCTATCAATTTCCCACATTTACCCACCTCCGGATTTATTCGCGACCGGAAACCGCACGAGCGGAAGAATTCAGAATAATTGCGACGTCAGCGACACGACCTCTCGTAAAGTCGATCACGTAGCACGACGTGCTGATTTTAGAACCAATCTATCGATTAAATACCGTTGTCGTAACCGGTTGATTGTGAATTAACGGTGCTCATTTTCTTAGTTCACGACTGCTTCTCTCCGATTTCGATGAATTTTAATTATGATGGAGAATAATTAAAATAAAAGACCAATCTTTCGCGCGCGCGCGCGCGCGTGTGTGTGTGTGTGTGTGTGTGTGTGTGTGTGTGAATTTGCTCTAATTTTTTTGTTTGTTTGTAATTTTTTTTTGTTGAGTGAATAAATTGTGGACAATCAAATACGATACCACTTCTCATTTGGGGATGCTTCACAGACTTCTAATATTAACATTTGTATTTATATTTTACAATAAAGTAAAAAGAATTTCTTTTGCCACTTCACGTGTTGAATTTTTTTCTTCTTAATATATCGCAAACGCGCGCATTACAAACGCGTTACGCACTGGTAAGATGCAATTACCGGTGCAACGGTGATTTCGCGTGGTAAAGAAGAAGTTTTTTTTTACACGTCGGTTCGCATGCGAGATAATGCTCGGCCGAGGACCGCATATTAAATTAAATAAACGCTCGTATTTCTAGACACCTTTCACTTAAGACTCTCTTTATAAAATAAGCTCCGAAAGAGTAACGTTCATATGATGTTTCAAAAGGTACAAATCCGCAAATCTCTCTTAAATGAGCAGAAAATTAGAGCTTCTCTTCGAGAGTTTCATCTTTGTTATAGCTGATTTCCGGCTTCTTTCTGTTTCACTTGTTTACGTCGTAAAACAGCGATTTCATCGGTTAACTCAACAGCAGCAACGACGACAATGGCGACGACGACGACGTTATCTGAAATAGGTTGTATATACACGTAGAGCGAAACTTGTGCTACGAATAATCCAGAAAGAAAATACATTCGGTGCACGAACAAGACAATAAAATAGATCCGGATTTTATAGTAAATTAAAATTAAAGAGAGATTACATCGCCTATAAATAGTAAAAATATTTTTCAACGCGATTATTCTGTTGTTTTAGAAAGTTATTTTTATGGGAAAAATACTTAAAATATATTTATAATTTGATTTCTTAGATGAATTATAAATATCTAAGAAAATTTAGAGTATTTTTTTTTAAATCTCTCCTAAATATTATCAGAATTTCCTTTTTTAAATATTATCTCTTTAAAAAAAATACTTAAGATTATCATTTGCTGTGTTGATTATATCGTTTCTTCCATATGCCGCCAATACAATATGTAAGTTAATTTGAACAAATCTGTTCAGCGAATGTTGCAGATCTATCAGAACCAGTCGATTACCGTTAACGGTTGATTGTCCCGATTACAGAATTGCTAACGTAATACTTTCCTGCGAGAAATCAAGTACAAGCATGCGGAGTATGACTCCCAGGCATTTCCTTCTCATGTGTGTTAATGACCGACTCTTTCCTTGAATCATTAAAACCTTCCGCTTGCGAGAAACACGAACGGCAGGAAGTGCATTCCAACTATACTTTAAATTGAAATCTAAGTTTTACCTAAATATTAGCATATTGGATATTTGAATTGTATTTTCAAGAAAATCAACAGAATTTTACTCAAATCTTCGGTTATAATTAAAATCTTCAAATTGTAATGTCTTCAATACTCTTCTCTCAGAGTTCAAATCATTCTTCCAGAAAAATGTCTCTTCGAAACGTTTTGCATTTCTATGAAATAAATATTTACAATTCACGGATGTGCCAGCCGCAATTTCGCTTTCGCCCGAACGAATCGCAATTTATTATTCGCCGATGAATTCATCAGACTTGCACAGTACGGCGCTCTCGTTCTTCTCACTGTCGATTCTTCTACATCGAAAATTAAAACTTTCCGCTTGTAGACACAACAACTAACCACAATATGAGCCTGATGTTTCGATTCAGCACCAATAGATGCGTGGAGGTGCACAATGCACGTGCATGCATGCCGGTCGCATTAATAATACGGTTATGCAATAAACTTCATGCACATTGGTTATTAGTGACGCGGACCTCGGGTATGCAGCTACGAAACGTGCCCCATAGACATAACTAAGCTCGCCATGAACGCGAATGTGACTGGCACTCCGCAACCACTGCAGAAACTGAAAGGCAGAATTGGTATTAATTATTCGGGATCAATGCACTATCGGAAAGGCATAATTACACGCAAAAACTTATACATTATTTTGCTTTTATTGAAGCAATCATAATTTAGAATCATTATCTTCTCATCGCAAATATATGTTAAGAGAAGTGTCGTCCATTCCTTGTAAAAAAAATTTGTTAATTTCCAACACTATGTTAAATTATAACATTAGTATATATAACATAATATTATAACATTAATATAATTATAACATAATTATAATTTTTATAACTGCGTTTGAAAATAAAATTTTGTAAAGTCCAATTGAAATGATGTGAAGAATAAAATTCTATTAGCGTTTTTCTAACTTAATCTAATACTTTTTTTCATTAATTTAGAATTATTACAGTGCCATGACACTTTTCATAAATTTTAATATCAAGAGCTTTATTATATTTAAATATCCTGCATATTACGAAATTATATAAATTTTTATATATTTTAATTAGAATAACATTCACGTTACTATTCTGTAAAATTAGGCAAAAAACCTAAGTGTCCAAATTGGGCATCCGTTAGATACATGGCTCTTCACTCTGCCCAAAGCCAATGAATTGCAAACATATTCAGATGCAGATATTTTGTGACGCTCACTGTAAAACATCACTCGCTTGAAATTCAAACACGCAGATAGAAATTTTATTTTAACATTCAATTTTATCACATCAACTCTAAAAGCTAACATAAAATAAAATGTGTGCTTTTATTCTATTAATTTCTTCGAAAATTATAAGTGTGTACGCAAAAAGTTTTGCGCGAATTGAGATACGTGTTACTTTTATAAATTGTTGTCCGTTTAAAGTGCATTCTTGTATGAACGTACAGTTAAAATAAACATGTCGCCGTAACTGCGAATACAATTTTATAACGAATCACTTGCTGCACAGACAGAACGATTTCTTTAGATTTAATAAATTTTATTAGATTTAAAGAAAATTTGTTTTTGAAAATAGTATCAAACAAATCAATTATAGATTCAATAAATTCGATTGTTTGATTTCTCAAATAATAAATAGCTTTATTTCAAATAAAATATTTGTTTAATGAATTGTTAAAAAAAAAATAACGCACTTTATTATATACTTCAATAATATTAGAAAATCTCTTTCTTTCATTGAAACATATTTAACCAAACAAAGTATTATTTAGTTCAAAGATAAATTTATTATATTTTTTTAAATAATAGTGTCTTTTCTATTAAACAACATGGTATACTCTAACGAAATAATAAATCTTATTAATTCAACAAAATAATCTTTAATATAAAATTATATTGTTTGTAAATTAAATAAATTCAAACCAAACAAATAGAATTGCTAAAGAAATTTCTTTTCCTCAACGTAAAAGCCACGAAGAAACAGAAAGAAAAGCCAAATCTATCGAAATGACTAACGATCAGTATTATTTCAACAATATTGCTTTATAATTACAGGTGAGGAAGTGGTGACGGTGCCATCCACCAGCAACGGTGGTGAGAGCTGGAAAGCGCAGAGGCTGTCCGTAAACGTCGAATCGCCACAATCGAGCAATCGTCGCCGTGGCTGCCGGCCTCAATTGCAACCGGTAGTTTCCGGTAAGAGGAATCGGCCGGCGCCACCCCCACCATCGCAGCCGATATCCTGCAAGGTCAATGCCAAAGACCGGATCGACGGGTACTTTGACTGGCCGAACAAGGAGAATACACCCGGAAATGCCGTGAATCATCAGAAAGATAATCATCAAACGAACCAAGTTCAGACGGCTGAGGAGTTGACAATGGGTTCGAATCTAAGCAGACATAATGGAAAGGGCCTGACTGGCCGACGCACTCAATCTTCCGGAAATCTCTGCGATCCTAAGGGAAAACTCAATAGTATGGGAAAAATATTGGTACCCTGCTCCAGCGCACAAAGAGAAAGGTTAGTCACTTGTAATTGTTATCCCTTCCATTATCGCAAATAGTTTTACATTTATTTTATGTTGACTATGGTGATAATCATGCGTGACTGGCGTCAGACTTCTAGTCTGATTCCTTGGTCATTGAAATCTGGCATCATTTACATTTCTTGAAAAGTCTGTCTTTTTTTTTTGTAACAAAAAAATTATACAATACTTATACAATAAAAATTTTGAACGTGACGTAAATAATTAAGTAACAATACAAAATAAAATAATTATATATCAAACACGTTATAAGAATATAGTTTTATTTAATTATATTTGAGCAATTTTTATTATTACACATATATATATATATATATATATATATATATACATATATATAATATAATAGAAAAAAATGAAATTCTGTGAATTTCTTCTGTAATAAATACGTTAAGATAAACAAAATTTACTAATAACATATTAGTTGAAATCGGAAATTTTTATTTTTAATAAAAAAGCAAAAATAATTTCAAAAATAATAAAGTAAAATATATTTTAACATTCTACTTATTTTAATTAAACATTATGAGCATAATGCATTTACATTTCATGTTAATATTAAATCACATAGATTTTATTTTTAAAAATTGAAAAAAGTAATTTTTCTCGTTGTATTAAATATTTTAAAAGAATTGTTAAATTATAAATTAAAACAATATATAATTATATAAAATTAGATTGCAATTCTGCTAGTAATTTAAAGTTAACATTTTAAACATTTTAGTTAGTACGATAACTTGTTGCTACAAAGATAGAATTGTTAAATTATAAATTAAAACAATATATAATTATATAAAATTAGATTGCAATTCTGCTAGTAATTTAAAGTTAACATTTTAAACATTTTAGTTAGTACGATAACTTGTTGCTACAAAGATAGAATTAAATATTATGAAACATTACGAGAGAAAAAGAAGAATGCAAGGTGTCTCAATCGCACTTCTCTCGCGACAGATTAGATCTTCTTTGTAATTTAGTCTTACAGATACCGTTAATTTTTGAATGGCACGAAAAACGATTGAAACGCTGTAAGATATAGTTATGTTGTAACACAGAGGGAAAGGTCAATTCACGATCATCGATTTCTCGTCTGATATCCTTAAGACACTACTAAGGATCACGCCAATAGTTTGCCTGACACAACTTTATTCGACTATGAACGTACTGAGAACAGATCGAACACATTGAAAATATATAATGTAAATTCAGTCACATTAATGATTTTACTTTTATTATTGTTAATTTTACGATTATGAATATCTATATAATTATTATGTTACGTAGCAAAAACTGAAATTATTTATAAATTATATTACAAATTTTATTATAAAATTTAAAATATAAAGGTATATATATATATATATATATATATATATATATATATTATTATATATAAATTTATTTATTTATTATTATTATATATATATATATATATATTATATATATAAATATATATATATATATATATATATATATATATATATATATATATATATATATATATATATATTATATATATATATAATATGATAATAATATATAATAATAAATTATAATATAAATTTGATGATCTAAGGTATGTTAATTTTCGAACTTGATTATATTCATTTGGTTGATTACATGTGTCCTTTTTGTTTTTATTCATATTTTATATTGCCTTACAAAATAACATTGTTATAAATGTAATTACTTTAATATTACAAAAATGATATTAATTAAAACGATGAAATAGTTTTCTTTTATTTTTCAAAATATTAAGTGAATTTATTTGCATAGCATTCGTGTAATGCTTGACAACGGGGTAAAAAGAAGAATTCATTTATTGTCGGTGTGAAACTGTTCTTTACCCACGATTCTCACGGGATAAGACATTAACTCTCTTCACGTCTAACTTCTTTATCTACAAGCTCTTTATATTTGTTAAAAAAAGATTCATTTAAAACGCACAATTTTCCATAAGAATTACCTAATTTTCTCACGAAGATTATTTTTTAATTGAAATTTAAATTATTATTCTTAAGTTTTTTTTTTTTAATAATCGCTTTTGTCGAAATTTGTAAGCAGCAGAGAAACAATCTTTAAATTAGCCAGTTTGATTCGACAGTTTAGTGATATCACATCATCTAATAGTTTTTAAATATCAAGAAAATTCGTTCAAACTATTGCTTCAACGAATTAAGCGATAACTGATACTCATTATCTATGATACTCAATCAGAGTAAAATAAATAAAAAGAATTATTTCCGCGAAAAATTAGAGTAGCAAAATCGACTAAGATTGATTGCGAATCGATCGCTGAATTTCCTCTCTTGCGAAGTCTTCTTGATTATTCCATCGGAGGATTACGAGGCGGATTATATCTCCTTATAAATCATGAGTGGCTATATTTAACCGCGAATAGGATTACTTACCACGAGATAAAGCTCTGCGAAATCCGAAAGCATATGCTAATTAAATCTAGAGGGAAGACGAGACATCGCCGAGAGAGCCTTCGAGAGATAGGAAAACACGCGAAATTCTATCTCACTTTGGCCACTAATCGACGTGGAATCGATCATGTTATGTACCGACGCGCTAAGCCGCGTAAGACGATTAAGCAATAACAAGGTTGTCGTGAAAATATGATACTATGTATGTCAATAATAGTCCCTTTACTCCTATTCGCTTAACTAGCTAAACGGAGTAAGCCGCTGACCGCGTGGCCGACAATGGCCGAGATCGTTAATCCGAAGGTGAATTATATTCGACGTTGGTAACGTTGATAAATGACGGTGATAAATCGGCAGAAAATAAGCCGGCTGCGCACGTCGTTCTGTTATTAAATTAATAATTATTTGCGTCTCGCGTAATAATGAGTTAAGATGAAATCACTGACTGACGATCATCTTATTGTAACCGGTCGGTCACGTGTATCATCTAAAAACTATTAGCGAATACGTCAAGGATAGATCTCGTTAATATAACATTAATGAGTTCTTTTGAACTCCCGATTTTTTTCATAATATAGATCTTGCGATATTTAATATAATATTTGTAACTGCCTGTTTTTAATTAAGCTTTTATATTTCATCATATTCATATATAAATAAAAAAAAATGTGCTATATTTTAAGTTAGTTAATTTATTTTTTATGCATACAAATATGTAATAAATGTATGTTTTAAATGAAGCCGATTAAGAATACATAGAATTTAATGAATAATTATTTATTTTATATTGCGCATACTTTTAATTACGATTATATAATTTAAAATGTCTAAGGTCGTGCTGCTTTCCATCTCCGGCAACAATTGAATTAAACAAGATATTTAAAGTAACGGGTGGCGCGTTAAAGTAAAAGAAGAGAGAGAGAGAGAGAGAGAGAGACTCGGAAACTTTACTGGTGCGGAAGCAGTTCTGCATCTTGCAGCGACGTACAAAACAGTACGTACAAAACGTACGAACTCACTTGCATCAGCGTCTCCTGGGCGCACAGTTCTCTCTTGCAGCAACTGCACAAGCAACCCTACAATGGGGGTTGGCGGCAGCATCTCCGGTAGTAACAAGTTGCCGGCCGCGAGATAATTTAAAGCACCTCTAAGGTCGGCCAGTCGCTGTACCAGGGCGGCTTCCATTAAACCCTCGTTTACACGGGGACGGTGCAGAGCCGGGAGGAATAAGGGTACGTGGGCTAAAAGAGCAATTGCGGGGAGAGAATATTAAAAGGCGGCTGCGCGCTTCCTGATCTCATTTGCGTAAGTGCTGTTGTCTAACCCGGCAACGACAACACCGGTAATACGCGCAAACGGAATCGTCGCCTCTCCCGTTTGTTACTTGTTTGCTCAAATCTTAAAATATCCGGCCGCATCTCACATTATCGAAAAGTCATTTTTTTTCACTAAACGCAAAAACAGAATATAATTATAATTAACAAAAAGCTCTACCCGCGGTTTGCTATTATTTACTATCAATGTCGATCTAAAAATTTCGACACAAGTCTCTCTTTCTTATTTAATCTATAATAATAATTGCGAAGATACCTTTTCAAGTTTTTATGTATATATTTACAATAGACTAAATAACAACAACTTTTGATCCATTGTAATCATCACGACGAAAGAAGCTGAATTAAATTGAAGGATTAATGAAAGATCGGATTACAAATTTATAACGGGATCTTTTTCTGAATTTTAATATCGAGTTATTTTAACATTCCATTTCTCGTCACGTTTGTAGTAGTTGTCAAAAGAGTTATATTATGAGACTGTTATTTTTATTATTCGGACGGTCAACATATCGAATTTTTAGGCTCTATACCTGAGATATCTGCGATGCGAGAGGTCGAAGTAAGTGGAGAGACCGGTGAAAGGTCAAATGTTCTGCGCGGTTGTGCGCTTATGCATGCCAGGAAGGTTTGCACAGGCAGGCATTCGCCTATCCACCGGGCGTGAAAGCGGACTACGGCGGATGATGTCACGAATTATTAGTAAAGTTTCCTATACCCGTTCCCGGTACACGCGGTCCGTTGTCACGTAAGGTGTTTTATGAGACACATGCAAACATCGATCGTCGAGTAAATACGAAACGTTGTCATGTGTCGTGACTTATGACGATTATGTCATGCTTTTCCAATAGTCTTAGAATGACGTAACAGCAAATAATAAACAAGAAGTGTCATACAATTTTTATTATCGCTTTTAAAAAAGGCAATTCTCTCCCGTCGGAATAACCGAAGAAAGAAAATATTGATCCTGCGATATTGATTTTTTTTTTTTTTAATAAAGTAGAAGAAGAATGTATTCTATATATCTATATCGTAACACTTGAAACCAAGCTGAATTTAGAAACGTCATTGTTCCTAATGGATTAAAAGATCAACGATTCTCTTAGATATTTATATCGAAAATGCACTCGTTTCAGCGAGCTTATTTTATTGACAATTCGCGCGCGGAGCAAAATGGCGAAACATCTTACGAATATTATCCACGACGATATTTCGTTTTCGGAAACGCTCGATTTCATCTTGTTCGAATGTCACGTACGTCACATAGCATGCGAACGTGCCGTCACGGAGTTTTTCCCATCGTATTGAGTGCACCTCATATGTCGCTTTTAAATGCTTTTATTTTAGTTTATTTTTGCGTTCTCCTCCGTTTGTAGTGACGTTGCGAGCGCAGCAGAGTGACGTTTAAACAGAAGTGATCTCATGTACGCAAATTCACGTGTCGTATTTCGCGCGTTTCGTTGCATACGCGAGAAACAGCAAAGTCACGCAAAACGATCGTTCGCACCCCCATTATAACAACGAAGTAACGTATAAATGGTGAGAACAGCGGATTATGCAAATTGGAATAATGTGTTTTTTTTTGTAGAATTTGACGCTTTCTGACGGCAACTTGTTACACGAAATACACTTCCGCTCTTATAAACTCGTTTCTCAACACTTTCATCTTTATAAATTCCTTTATACTTTTAATGAACGGAGAAATGACTCGACGAGTTACACACACAAACGATCTAACGTATAAAATACATCTCCAAAGGAAGTTTATTCTGTAGAATATTCATTTTACTTAACATATTTGTATTTCCTGTTAATTATTGTTTTGTGGTTTATTAAAATCTGAATAAATGACCCGACTATCTGTTCTTTTTGTGCAGGTATAAATTTTGCGGTTCTCTGCCAAACCATTTGGACGACAAAGATGTGCTGGATGACGATCAACGGGATAACAATAACATCTCATCCGATAATGTCAGCGGAAATTTCGGCACATTACCACATAAGAAGCGCTCGTTAGGAGTGCATTTCTCGGACAGCGGACCGACTGGCACTTTGGATCTCGTTAAACATCGATCACAGGATTCCTTGGATGAGAACGACCCGTGGAGGTATGTGAGAAAAGGAATAAAAATAATGCAAAAATCATTTATTACGCAGTACGATATTACAATCGAAATGCAGCGCGCATTGAATGTCTGATGTCTAGCCTCTGTTAGAATTAATTAATCTCTGCTCAGAATTCATTATTCTTAATAAATTCCTGAAATTTATTGCCCTTCACTTATACGCGAGTCCACATACACACATTTAGTTCCGCGACTGTCCCACGAATCGACGCGAACAGAGGCATGGCAATTTGAAGAATCCCGGGAATGTCCCTCTGGACTTCAATCCACGTCGATCGATCGATCGCGCATACTCCCGCGTTAAACGTAATACCTATAAAGTTTCAACTTCAAACCTGACGCACCCTTCGCGTGCGCGACGAACTTCTTGCATTTTAAAGTCCAAAGAAATAGTTTTCACATTGATTCCTCAACTCGAAATGCCTCCATCGACCAACCTCGAGTGCGCGAAATGGAATTTTCTCTCCCTCCGACGGAAGATTAATTGCGGGTTTCGGTTTGATTTCAGGTATCAACAGAGCGACCTGGACCTCGTGCGAACTCGTCACGGTAATTTCGACTCGGTCAAGAGAAATCGCAGCGCCGACACTGTACTGGTCGATTCCGGCAGGAGGTACGGAGGACGCGGTGTGTCCTCCTCGGAGGACAGATGCCATCGGAACTCGGACCTCGACCTAGTCGGCACGCTGCCGAAACGCAAGCAGGACGCCAGAAACAGCAGCGGCAGGAGCCTGCAGTCGAACACGTCGTCCTCACAGCCGTGCATAATGAACGTGACCGACGCCGACGACGACTTGCTGATGAAGATGATGCACAAGCCCGATTGCGAGCTGCTCAAGCATCGTCAGCAACTTGGCAAGTGCGTCGATCTGAAACTGAGCAAATTGACGAGCGGCGAGCCGCAGGACCAGGGATATGCATCCGAACGTTCTCCCGAGGACGAACATCCGCCGTCGTTACCAGGCCAGGTGTTTCCAAATGTGACACTCGGTAAGTAGGTCACCATGGTTTATTTATATAGATAGTTTATTATTAGTTTATTATAGTTTATTGTTAAAAAAAACATGTGTGTGAAAACTTGGTCTTTTACTAGATGCAAATTTTTCTTATACCTTATAGGGTAAATAAAACGTAGGTGTCTTTCCCGTGTGAAAAGATCAATCATTATTCGCTGCATAATTAATGCGCAATTAATATTCACTTGTGCGTGATCAGCTTATTGTTAGCGAGCGATATTCATCGTAACGCGAATACTCGGCGGCGCCGCCGTCCGATCATGTGAGGTATTCGTTCGCGTGGAAGAACGAACGATTCGTTCTAGAGAGACCGACGGGAGGATAGATATGTGTGAAAATGCGAACGCGCAAGGTTGACGTAACAGGATTTCGAAAGATATATCGAAGGCAGGATTATACACGCGTAAAACTTTTCCGCTCGACTGACAACGCTTGTGCGAATCTTATTTTGTCGGAGGCGAACCACTTGTATTCCCACGTTTGCGAAAAACTGTCGCAAACTTTTTGAAGATCGGGACTCTCTGCTTCGCAACCCCCCGTGACAAATACGCGACTGAGCAGCCTTGCCACACATAGTAACGAGCAGCTGATAAAGACGAATGGCTCGACGATGACAGGTGAATGAACATCGTGTTCGCCATGCAAATGATCGACTAGCGAGATATTTTCTTATAAGTCTCGATACTCCCATTCAGGTTTTCTCCATTAATTTATCCCCCATCGTGTATCTCAATCACGATCATCAGATAACATAAATATATAATGATGAAATTTCTTACTTAATTCGCGTAATTATGCATCCTAAATTTACATAAAAAAAAGAAGAAACCAGCCAGAGTATATTAACATTTCCAAGTCGTTAAGAAATTATTCTTGCGCAAGATAACAGACTTTGCATAACAGATTATACGATGTAAAAGAAAGTATACGTTATTGATTACAACGAACGACAATATTTTTAATATGTTTCATGACACTTAATAACATGATGGAAAATATTTTGTAATTTGCAAGATTTTAACGGACTTGTTCTAAAGTATGTGGCGATATCTGATCAGATCAATCAATCGTTTCCTTTCATTATCGCTCGTAGAAATAATAATTTTCTCTCATTTTATAATAAAACTGACTGGCTATAGCCATATCTCGATTGGCTTGATAGAGAATTTTGTCGTTGAAACTCGTTTATAATTTACACAGGTGAAACCTTACACGGTTACATTAATTAGAATTCTTGTGAAATTGCGCCATTCTCCAGGAATCCTGTCAAATTCAGTAAATTTACATAATGTCGAAAATGATATCCGAGGCATGGTTGTCCATGTTTGAAAAAGCATTTGCTCATTCTTTCTCTTTGTTTTTTCTCTATGAACATAAAAAAACCTTGAAATGGGTAATGCATCATTTACTTTCGGTGTCGATTTTCAAGCGATTTGATCGGCAGTCAGTCGCGTGAACACTTTGCCATTCGCACGCTTTACATAAATGTGTCTATATCGTGACGCGCGTAAAATCTCCATATTTTCAATTTAAATCTCATGCATTTGGAAAGATCTGTTCACTAAGCGACGAATGGTTCACTAAGCGACGAAGCGACAAAATTATTTCCGCGTGTTACTTTCCGTTATAGCCATGCGTAATTTTAGAAGGCAACTCGAGTTCAAATATAAATTTCTCTTAATATTAATAAGAAAGTAATGTTTTCTTTATTTTCAATTCATTTTTTTAATAATATTCATGAACACATTTCTAGCTATTTTTATAAAATGTTGTTTTGTCGTTAAAATTAACATGCAAATAAAATGTCTGCATGTTGTCATGCTTTCACTTAACTTTTTCACAATGTTTCACTTAACTTTTTTATTAATATTATATCCAGTCATAGCAGGCGAGAAAAAGCTCATTTTTACCCTCTGCAAAAACAATTTGAATTGACGGGACTAAGATCAAAATGTAAAAGTATCATGATGCAAATTCGAATAAATCGTTTCGGCTTTCATGACGCGAAAACGAAAAAATTCAGTTGATCTCGTTGAATATATCTTAATGACATGATGACGTACGTCCTTAGAACGTTAATGGCGCGATTTAACAACACATCGTTGTTCATTGCGCCTGACAGGCAAGTTTCGTAGCGTGGTAGTTATTACCCTTCCACCCACGCATCATTCTTGCATGTGTATTCTGCTCGGGGCAGCGGTTCTCAGAAATCAAAGCAGCGTTCTCTAATTTACAAAAAGCGTCCATTACCATTTGCACTCCGCAATCGTATCTCGAATAATATTTTATTCGTACAGCTCCTATTCGCGAATCTCCATTAAAATCTCGCCACGACGACACCTCGCTGTCCGTTGACTTTTCACCCTGCAGAGTGATTCCTATCGACTGACTTTCCCGAAGTGCGTGAAGAAGCACACACCGTCCTGCAATGCGGCTCCCGTATCGTCGATAATTCCACGGTATAGGTTTACGACAAGCGCTTAATGGCCCCCGTTATTGCGACTTTACGGGCGAATTCAGGATCAACCGAGGCGCTCGGAGGATCTCACGGGTCGGAAACTGATGGTGAGGCCTTTTCGAAATTGTCGGGCGCTTTCGCACGTTCCAGACATATACGATGGCGACGATTCAACCCACTTTGAGAGACCCTGACCCAGAATATATACGCGGTCCTTTGTGCAACAACTACAAACGCGCGTGTGCTTTGTATAGACTGGTATTTGCGGCATGATGCTGCCGGCTTCGAAATTACGAGGCTACTGGTAAATGTATCGTCCAAATATACAGCGTGATCACAAGAGTGTTAAAAATCGATACGCAATAATTAAAAGCGCGGTCGCCGTTTTAAACCAAAGTACTCGGGCCACTCTATTAAACCTCCTGATCTATTAACCAAAGAGCAAACACTTAATGAAACATTTTTATCTCGTGCTCGAAATATGTATAATGTAATAGATGGCAAACGGGCGTTTTCAAAGCACCACTTATCTTCCATCGCATGTATCTCGTGTATAGGATGAAAATATTTAACTACTTAATACACAAACCTCATCGCGTTTAACTATTACTTAGGAGAGTACGGCAAACTTGAGAAACTAATAAACAACTATCTGGCATTATATGATGCTTGTACAAGCATCGTATAAACGCGTTCGATCCATCCATTTGCTTTTCAAGTTAACAACGCTAAGATGAGCAGAGCGAACTTGCCAAATCAATAAACTGTTGGACATTACAGTCCTTGTTATGCAGTTTCCATGTGTTTCGCGATGTGGATTGTTTATATTCGTCATTGTGTCACAACAGAACTGTGTGCGGTCGGGCGGGAAATATTCCGTTCACGTAGTAGTCGGGGATTTGATTCGGGATTCTCTTCTCCTAATTCGAATGTCTATGACAGAACGTTGGCTGAAACTCGAGACGACTGAGCGATTCAAATCTTCGCAAGCTATCCACATCCCGATGCCCGCACGGAATACCGAAATTAATCTAAATCACCGTGCTATTATTATTTTTAGCATTATTATTTTTAGTATTTTGTATTTTTACTTACTTGTCACGTCACATTTGTCAAACGTTATTAAGTTCTTTTAGATAACTTCGGAAATTGATCAAAACCATTTTACTTATACACTCACTTCGCATATATCTTCGATCTTTGCCGCGTTGGCGAAGAAAGAAAAGCAGCAAAGAGTTTTATTCCTCTTTATACATTACGGTGATGAGAAATCTTCGGCTTTGATCGAACAGATGTAATCGAAATGAATGAAGATTATTGCAGACAGAAAGCCATTTCCAAGAAGTTGATAGTAAATTTTGACGTAGCTCAATAATAACAACGAACATTCCGATGCATGTCTGAATACTATCTAATTTTTCAATTAATAGATTCTATTCTTGTCATAATCTAAGGATCGAAAATCACTTCCAGGTTTCCTCGGTTTGTCAATAAAATTAATTTCAAACTGACGAGACGTATCCTATATATATATATATATATATATATATATCCCAGAAATTTATAATCGAGAATTGCAATTGCCATCGCGAAATTCGTCGAGATCTCCATTTGAGCGTCATCGAATCGGTGATTTTCAAGCCGTACCGCTGTCGCTTCAGATTTGCGCGATTCTCGCGAAAAAGAGGAGCCAACTCTTAACTGCCGCGGTTGCAAATGCCGAAGGCGTTCAATCCGCAAACGATTTCTCTCTCTCGCCCACTTCGATGTCGCCTTCCGCCGCTGACATTGTAGGTTTTCTAAGTCAAGATTGCGCTATTGATCGTGCGGCCGTTGCACGACCGTGTTCTCGCCTTATTCCGCCGATCTGGGTCACTTCGACGTACATTCCATACGTCTCACCTATTGACCTATTTGTACGGCCGTGGGCTGTCGGGATGTTGTGTCGAAGGACAGGAGGAGGAAATGGTTAAAGCTATATCGTTTCATGTTTTCGGCGTGTTTTCCGCGTGGATTACAAGGCTGGTGCCGCCGGTACGCGGCGGGTTAATTTCGATGCTCCCGGCACAATACTGCACTGATGACCAACTGACCCTAATGCGAGGGCCGAGAAATAATGGATGATATTTTCGACATGCTGGATATTCTTCTTAATTTGGAATAATGTATGCGATCGATGTAGTCGTTCATTCAAAAGGAAATGGACTATCAGGAACAGTCTCAATTCATCATTCTAAAATTATTCCCAGATATTAAATTATTATTTGTATACTTTTTGTTGTAAGTATTTTTATATACAACACAGAGTTATTATATATTTTTCCAAGGATATTTTATATATGCTAATACATGATTATGACGATATTTATGATTATAAATATATACTTACAGTTATAATAAAGTATTTCATATATTTTTTATATATGTACATAAAACTAATATATGAATGCATATATAATTCATTATTATCGTCATTACAATTATCATAAAGTGATAAATTGCGTATGATTAACAGG